CAGAGCTGGAAAGCAGGTTACTGGGGTGGGGAAGGAACGGGGATTTTGCCATATCCTTCCCCCGCCACGCCACAGAACCGGTAGTAAAAATCTTTGAATCCCACTACTGATCTGTTTGCAGGAAATTGCAACCTAAGACGAAGCCACGTTAACGTGGTTGATTGCTTTGGTGCAGCCTTGAGGACTAGCAAATTTGCAAGAGCTAATCTGAGAAAAAGATTTTTTTTATATATTTCTTCTTCTTCTTCTTCTCCTCTTTTCCTCCCAGCTCTGGCTGACTTGCTCCCTGCCAGATTTGAACCCCTTATCCAAGATCTGCTAGCCATCCAAGCGGTTTCTGTCGCGGTGGTGAATCTGCAATACGAAAACGCACAACTTCCTGTTACGGTAGCATTTCTTGGGGGGGGGGGAACCAAATTTGCTTAACAACCTTGGGGATTTACTTAAGGGTCCTAAAATAATTTACAAAAGGGTCCTAAAAACAGGCACTGGCTCATTGAATGACCATCTTGCTTAGCGACGGGCATTCCGGTCCCAGTAGCCAAGGACTACCCGTATTACTTTCGGGACCTTTTGAGCAAGGCTTCCAAAAAAGTGATTTTTTAAAAAAAAAAATTCATTTCTTTAAAAAAAAATAATTTTTTTCACCAGGGATTTGGCCATTTGGTGCCATCGTTTGAGGATCGCCCGCTGTTGGGCATCGTCTACGACTCGGTGGCATTTCCCGAACAGAACGGTCGCCAAGGCTCTGCCACTCGACTGACGGTACGAAGGGCGGGGATTGTGGACTTTTCATCTTTCGCACCTTCTTGTCGGGATTTTCGATGCATAACACAAGTGCTTTTAAATTTGGAGCATGGCCGAAAAGGGGAGGCATTGAGGTGACCTCATTAATTGGACCTAATTTACTTTTCGCTATAGTATTGTTTCTCAACTCACCTTAAGAGGAGTGGACTTCAACTCCCAGAATTCCCCAGCCAGCCTGCTTTAAGAGATGATTTCAACTCCCAGAATCCCCCA